CCGGGGGCGCCTCTGCAACCGGGGTCCCCCCGCCGGAGCTCTTCCCCGGGCCTGGGGAGCGCGCGCTCGTGGGCTTCGGGCCACCAGTGCCAGCCAAAGACGCGGAGACCAGGTGAGGGTCTCTCACGACGGTGGGGTGGGCGGGGCTGACCGGTACCATTCCAAGGCTCAGAGGTCCCAGGGTGCCAGGGGCGGTGCAGGGGGTCTCTGGAGAGACGTCCAGTGTCATTTCCCTTCCATCTGCAAGTCTTCAAGGGGTGGGCGAGAGGTGCCCAGGCTGGAGACCCGGGTTTGCATTTGTTACCCGAGCCTTGGTTTCCCCAACAGTAGATAAGGGGTCCAGCCAGCCCTTTGCAGGGCCTTTCCAGCCTGTCTAGGCCCAGCCCTAGAGCTGTCCAGCACAGGTCCAGCTGGAGTATCCTGGAGAGGGATGCTGGTGAGAAAGAGGGACACGGGGACAGTGCCAGGTGTAGTGGTGTGCACCTGTAATCCCAGCACTCAGGAGGCTGAGGCAGGAGAATCATTGTAAGTTCCAGGTAGCTTGGGCTACATAGCAAGACCCTGTCCCTCTATCCTTCAAAACAGAGAGATCTGGGTTCTGTTGATGCCAGTTCCTGCTCTGCTCTAGGGGGAGGGGGTGCTTCTCAAGGCTACCAGGGCTTTGGGATGGCTTGAGGACATAGGGAGGGAGGTGTGGGGGCCACACCCAGCAGGGGGAGGTCGACTGGAGACACACAGTAGGGACACGGGGGCTTGGTCCTTAGGCAAGCTGGGGATGGAAGGACATTTGCTGTGGTCACCAGTCTTAGGAGTGGGGCCTGGGCAGGAGGGACCCTGGCTGGGGAAGGGCTGCTGAGAGCCACCGCCTCCACAGGGAGCGCATGGAGGCCATGGAGAAGCAGATCGCCAGTCTCACGGGCCTGGTACAGAGCGCCCTCCTTCGGGGCTCAGAGCCTGAAACCCCAAGGTGAGCCCCTTTCCGCCACCACAGCCAGGGTCTGGGCTTGGAGCTGGAAGTGGGGGAGTGGGCATTAGGAGTGTGGGCTGGGCTCTGTCGATGTGTCACTGGGTGACCACGAGTCCCTTGCTTCTCGGGGAGCTGGAGATGACATCTCTGCTTTGATGGTCTGGGGCTCGCATGGACCCCCGATGGCCATTTTCTTTCCCTGTGCCACAGTGAGAAGATTGAAGGCTCCAACGGGGCAGCCACCCCCTCAGCACGTGAGTGATCCTGCCCCGCAGCCCCACAAGTCCTTGCCCTGAGCTTCAGTCTCCCAGTCTAGAAAGTGGGTATCACCCAGTCATGACGTCAGTGAGCCTTCAGGGGATAAATGAGAAGTCATCTTAGTCCAAGAGGCCACTGCCTGGTGCCTTGCAGCCCAGTGAGCACAAGGAGGCTGTGTGCCTCTACCTACAGGGTGAGGTCCCGCGTGGGGAGGATCTGCCCTGGTGTCTCAGGCTTATTTTGTGCGCCCTTCCTCCCATCCTCAATGTCCCTCTCCACAGCGTGCGGGTCAGGCAGCCGCAGCAGTGGAGCCACCCCGGTGTCCGGCCCTCCCGCGCCCTCGGCCAGCGGCGCCCCTGCGGAGA